TGGGACCACTCCTGCAATGAATCCCTATGGCCAAAATCATTGTTTCAAAATCTTCTGTGTGATTTTACTCATTTGTGTCTTTAACAACTTGCCCTGGCCTCAACCTCCTTGGACACACATGGTTGGCTGTGACCTATATATTCCTAATGCTATGATTATGAAATAGATACCATTATGCTTTGCAGAATCTGTCTCTCTATTTAGGTTGACAATCACATCACTGAATATAGAAGGAATTTTTTAATTTTAGTTTTTATTTAAGGCTTATCTATTTATTTGAAAGGCAAGGCTACCAAGAGAAATGGAGACACAGACATACATGCAAACCTTCCATACACAGATCCTCCATCTGCTGGTTCAGTCCCCCGACATGGCTGCAAGAGCCAGGGTTGGGCCAGGCTGAAGGTGGGATCCTGGAACCCCAGTGGGGTCTCCTACATGCATGGGTGGAGCCCAGGTACTTGGGCTATTTTCTGCTGCTTTCCCAGGTACATTAGCAAGGAGCTGGATCAGAAGTGAAGCAACCTGAAGCAGGGTTCATATGGGATGCTGGTGTCAGCTTCACCCACTGTGCCAAATATCTTGAATTTCATGGCTGTGTTTCATTCAACAATGAAAATCATTCCTGCCAAAGGCCCTTTGGGTATTTCTAACACCTCTCATGGACCACACAAGATTATCAACTTAAAAATTGGCTTGTTACAGATTTACTGAATTTCTAGTTCCATGTGGTTGCCTTGGCAAGGCCAAATTATTTCAAGGACTTAAATGAATGTGAGTTGGCCAGTTCCCACCCAACTGAACACAAAGGCATCTCTGGATTTCTTTCCCACTATGCCATGCCTGTCCTACCTAACTCCTCATTGCCGGATCTCCCCTAGGAAAGGCTATGAGCTCTCTCTAGCTGTTCCAATGATTTTAAGAACTAACACAGGGTGACTCTCCCAAATTATAGGCCAAACTGCCTTTTTGAGCCTTAATTTCATTTGGGAAGTTAAAGAATTCTGAAATTCTTCATGTCCAAGACCCAAATCTTGAGTTCCCAACTCAACCCCAGCTGGTTCTTCCTTTCCTCTTCCCCATTCTTACATCCCCATCCACACAACACTCCGGCATTGGTCTGGCTCCTCCTTCCGCCTTGCTCTCGGCCTTAGTCTGCAGCTGCTGCTAGAAATCAACACTGGAGATGGAGTCGCTTATAATCGAGAAGGCTACAGCTAGGGTCACGGTCCTGAAGGCTCAGCGGCTCAGACAGGAAGAGCCTCATGCTGTGTCCCACGAGGGTGGCAGAAGGGTGAGCAGGTAGGAGCAGGCGAGGAGAAGAAGGGGACAGAGGCTGTGTCCGAAGCTGCTTTGTGCAGGGACAGACCTGTTCCGTGAGGGCTAACCCAGATTTCTGAGAAGGACATTCATCCCTGTCGCCCCCAAGCCCTACCTCCCAGCACTGTTATGTTGTTAACCAGACTTCAAAGTGAGTTTTGATGGGAACAAACTGCAACACAGTAACTCTACCCAGTCCTTCTCCCTCTCAACTGGATCTCCACTGCTTCCTCATTTATCTCTGCTGCCACCACGACAGTGGAAAGCCGCCGCTATCAGTGGCAGGCCTCCTCGTCCTAATCCATCTCTCTGCCTTCTACATGGAAACCTGGAGAAGCAACATTTCAAAAGTACAACTGAGGGGCTGGCACTATGGTACATCAAGTTTAGTTTCCACCTGCAGTGTCAGCATCCCATATGGGAGCTGATTTTTGAGTACTGGCTGCTCCACTTCCAATCCAGCAAATGGCAGGGGAAAAGCAGTGGAGGATGGCCCAAGTGCTTTGGTCCCTGCTACCTATGAGGGAGACCGGGAGGGAACTCCTAGCTTTGGCCTGTCCAGCCTTGACCACTGTGGCCATCTGCAGAGTAAACCAGTGCATAGATTTCTGTCTCTCTTCCAACTCTGCTTTTCAATTAAATAAGTACACTTCTAAGAGACAAAAGATATGTAACTCAGATGAGGTTTCCCCTTTGCCAAACTTCCTCAGTGGTTGCAACCACACTGCAGAATGAATTTCAATGTGTAAGCGTGGGCAGAGGCCCTGGTGTGACTGTGCCCTGCCCACTCTCCCTTCCCCCAAGGTGATCTCCTTGGCATGGCCGCAGCTCTCCTGAAGGCCTGCCCCCACCCCCGCCGGTGTCTATGCCTGCCCTATAGAATCCTCGCCCCTCTCCACAAGCGGGCTTCCCCACACCCTGTCCTTGTGTGGCTCCCCTCCCCTCTCCAAAGTGGACACCTGCACTCACCTCTTTGCCAGTGCCCTGTGCATTCCAAGCTCCATCTATTTGTTTGCTTGTTTACTATTCTGAATTCCTCCGTTACACCAACGAAGACAGGCATGAACATTCAGGAAGTATACACAGCCCCTCACAAGATCTTAGCTCAATAAATATTTGCTGCCTGAGCGAGTCACAGCAGCCGCACACAAAGCTAGGCACCATCTCGGTTAGTCTTTCAGCCCCCACAGAAGGTGCTGCCTCACGCTTTGATTTTGATTGAAAATGTGACACATCTGAACATGTTCTCCAGCAGAAGGTTCATGGCCCCTGCAGGCAGCAGGGAGCTTCCAGCAATTCCTTGGGCCACCTCTCTATTGCCATGCCTTCCACCCCTATTCCTCCTGCCCCTTTTGAATGTGAATACAGAACTTACCCAAATTGTGTATGTATGCACCACTCATTATTATTTTACTTCTCTTGCCATACAGACAGAAGCTGGTTTCTATGTGCCAAGACAACACCTTACTAAAACAGTGATGCTTATTTAATAGGAATTGTGTCTTTCACATGTCTAAACATGGCTAAGCCAGCTCTTGTCGTCAACCTGGTTATTACAAACACAAAACCACATCCATCTTTCAAACAGCTCACTTCTTCAATTTCTCCATTGAATTCCTCATTGGCTCCTTTGTACATAAACGTGTATAATGAATTAGTCTCATTTAAAAAGAACTTTTCTGAAAAGTCTACTACTGAGGCTGGCTTTGTGGCACAGTAAGTTAAGCTGCTACCTGTGACATCAGCATCCAACGTGGCAGTGAGGGTGACCCAAGTAGCTGGGTCCCTAGACTCCTATGGGAGACCAGGATGAACCTCCTGGATCCTGCTTCTGCCTGGCCCAGTCCTGGCCATTGTGGCCATTTGGGGGATTGAGCCCGTAGATGCAAGACTTCTCTGCCTCTGCCTCTCTGTAACTTCACCTTTCAAATACACACTATATATATATTTTTAAAAAATGCGATTGCTGCACTCAGGAAACCTGCCCTGTGTGTCACTGCCCACAGGACAAGGTGACTGAGCTGACCTTTCAGTATCAACAGTTCCAGAGCCTTCTCTTCAGACGGCAGGCTTCAGACAAGCCAAGGCGGCACTAATCTGACACACCCTGAAGGACAGAACAGCTGATGCCAATAAAAGGATAACTCACAAGGAATTCAGAACTATCTAGGCAGGCATCGATAGACTGGAACACAGGAAACTATTTCCTGCTTACTCTCCTAAGCTTAACACATCAAGACAACCAACCAAAATTAAATGCATGAAGTAAAAATGCGATAACCACATTTTTGTAAAGCAATGTAGGAGTTGAGCTGCCTAATTCCTTCAGAAAAAAATAAAAAAACCTCCTTGAGTTTCACACCAACAATTTTGCCCTACACTGAGTGTTTTCAACTTGGTACCAAATGTACCTGCATTTTTTTTAAATCAGTAAAGTACCATCTTGACAAAACCAGCTTCCAGAGCTAAACAGTAAACACACTCATGATACCCCATTCCTTAACATGGATAATAAAGATCAATGAGCAGCTAACATAAAACAAAAATATTTTTGAAGTCTCCTTACCTTCAAACCATTAATCTCAAAAAAGGCATTTGATGGACTGGAAGATAACATCACAGCTTCATCTTTGTACTTAACATTAAGTGACTGTAAAGAGCAATAGCGTTGAGCTACCCCACACAGAAACTCTCTCCTTCCTTTTTGTATACACTGTGCCTTACAGACTCTGAAACAGGGAGTCTTACTCCGTTCTCTTATCCTACAGGCACCACTCACGTGTGTGTAATTACAGGCTAAGAAACACACCTTCAGTGAGTAGAACACTCTTTCCCCATTATACAGACACACTGGGAAGCTCTAATGTCCATCTCCTTCAAGCTGCTTGGCAAGGTCAACTATACAAACACAGCACTTAGCAGTGTCGTGGATAATGGTTAAATCAACAACAGGCCTTTAAAAACAGTGTATGCAGCCTGGCACAGTGGCCTAGTGGCTAAAGTCCTCGCCTTGAATGCCCCGGGATCCCATATGGGTGCCGGTTCTGATCCCAGCAGCTCCACTTCCCATCCACCTCCCTGCCTGTGGCTTGGGAAAGCAGTTGAGGATGGCCCTAAGCCTTCAGTTCCTGCACCCATGTGGGAGACCTGGAAGAAGTTCCTGGCTCCTGGCTTCAGATTGGCACAGCACTGGCCATTGCGGTCATTTGGGGAGTGAATCATCAGATGGAAGATCTTCCTCTGTCTCTCCTCCTCTGTATATCTCTGACTTTGCAATAAAAATAAATAAATCTTTAAAAACAAAAACAAGAAATAGTGTATATACCTTCTCAGTATTCCAATATTTTTTAAAAAGTCAAACTACATGTAAATGTGATATTTTTATTAAGTTGTTTGCTATCTTATGAAGTTTATGACTATTTGATAGTTTGATAAATATTCTTTTGGCAATAGCTAAACTGAAGCAAAATTGCAAGGAAAATTATATAAAAATCCTCGAAGTAGAAAATATATTTTCTAAGGTCATATAAGATTCTATTCTTTATATGGAAAAATAATGATTAGGACAAAATCCATTTGTATAGCACAAACACAAACTTGCCCATCCTCCTGGTGGTTACAATCATATCAGCAGGAGAAACACAGATGAATCTAAACACATCAAGCTGGAGGGCAAGGTATTTTGTAGAAAGCAGTTTATTATCAGAACAGGACAATCTGCTGTGTTTAAGATATATTTATTATGTTGTTTGTACAAGTAGCAAAGCCCTTCCATGTCCCCCCTCCCAATGAACAGACCCGAATATAAAAGCCCCTGACGGACAGCCTGCTGGCCCCCAGGCTTCAGGGAGGGCAGGAGCCGGGGTCCAGGCCAGCCTCCCAAAGAGCCGCAGAGGTTTCCTCTTCAACTCGGCCCTCAGCTCCAGCACTCTCATCAGTCATCCTCTTGCTGACTTCTTTTCTGTCAAATGAAACAAGAGTACATTAAAACTACTCATTCTAACTGGGACGTGTGCTCAACCAAGATCACTTTTTCTGATAGCAAGCGTAGTTTTCTAGAAGTCTTGGCAAAAGCTGTGCTGGGACATGATCATGTAAAGACACACGTGCTGTAGTCATTCATTACGCTAGTTTCTCATCAGGTCTCCTGAGCAAAGGACCCTCTCTTGCTAAACACACTCCCACACGGAAAAGCACACACCCCTAACTCCCACAGGGGCAACCACATCAGACACTGGATCTTTGAAGAGCCCCAAAACATCATATAGACTCACTTCAAAGTTACAAGCGATATGGAAATTTCTTAAAACCCCATGAATATCACAAAACAATGTCATTTTAATCAATAATTTATGTCTTCAGGTCACACTGAATATTTCATTCTAAAATGATGCACCCTAAAATGAGTCTATTTCTTAAATTGATGATCAAATAAAAATCTAGTTGGGTGGTATAGGGCTAAAGCAAAACACTAAACATTTACCTAACCTGGAACCCAGTGTGCCAAGATGACCAGCATCCTAAACACTCATATACTTTACCAGCTTAAGAAAGTCTATCAGCTTGTAGGCATCTTCCCCTGTGGAGAGGTCCACGAAGTCCTTAGGCAGTCGGTAGCTCAGGTAAGGGCTGGGCTGCACAGTGACTTCACTGGTGGTGCAGCGGAAGGCTGGAGAATCCTTTACAAGGAAAAAGGAACAGCTACAGGCCATTTTTTTCCACAGGGGATGGAGTGGGACGGGGTGTTGGGTCTTTTTTTTTTTTAAGGCGTTTATTTGAAAGAGAGCGAAAGAGAGAGACCTGGTGCTGCTATTTTCCCAGGTACATTAGTAGGGAGCTAGACTGGAAGAGAGGCAGCCAGGACTGGAACCGGCACTCCAATATGGGCTGCTGGCTTTTCCTAACCTGCTGTGTCATGACAGTGGCCCCTGGATGAATTTCCTGAACTATAAAAGATTCTGAGATAACAATCTTAACTCTATATTCCTTTTTGTACTAGCTAAAGAAGAACCTAAAGTGAAAGAAGCCACTGCGGTTAAACATCATGTTACATAATCACTAGAAGTAAATGTATCTGAAAATGTGTCCTATAGGAGAGCTGGCCAGTCCATGAGTGCTGCGCAAGCAACGCGTCTTGCAGACGGGCTTGTATCTGCCGCCCCTTGGGACAGTGGGCTCAGGCCATCCACTGCTGTCATCAATCTTACATGGGAGTACGTGTCCCTTTGTCATCCCCAGCCTCCAGTGTTACAGGAACACGGAGGGAGCCCCGTGCTCAAGGGCTCTCCCAGAGCTGCGGGTCAGGGCTTACTGTATGTGAAGCACAAGCGCACAGTTGGCATTCCTTCACAGTCTCCTTCGGATCTCTTACCTGCTCCTGACTGTCTCCTTCGCTAAAATCACCCTTCAGGTTTTTCCCAGAGATGAGTTCTTCCCAAGTGAACAGTAATGAGTCTGTGACTTCACCAAATGGATTAAAGTCAATGAGCCACACCTTCCCCTGTGGGACAAAAAGGAAAAAGTATGGTGTGAAACCAGACTCCATCCAAGGCCAGAAACACTCCTAACATCTCATCACTCATTTCAAAAGGCAGCTCCTCCGGGTACCACCTGAGGAAGAGCTGCAGAGGGTAGACTCGGGGTGAAGGGGAACATCATCTGTGAAGGTGCCAGGAGGGACCAGGCAAAGGCACATGTTTCAATTCCTGCCCCAAGTCACAGGAGAATCTTAGGTTAGAAAAATCCAAGCAGGAAATAGGGTGATCTCAGCCCATGGCTCCCTCGCTATGGTGGGAGAGATCCATTTCACAGGGCAGTCACTGCAACAACTCCAGGAGGGTACCAGGCAGAGCCCATGCGGGCAAGCGCCGGCAGCTCCAACAGCTCCACCTCTGACTGCGGAAAGGCTGTGGCAAAGGGTAGAGAAGTGTGGAAGTGCCCAGTTTCCTTTAAAGCTTAATGCAATCTCTGTTTACATTCACTCCAGCAAAACAGTTGCTACATTTACACAGCATCAGTGATAAATTTTGATAGCATACAGAGGGGATATTTCTAAAGAAGCCACTTCTGAAACAACTTGCTACCTCCTAGTCTGAGAACACAGGGAAGCAATCCCATAACTCTGGCCTCAGGCAGCAAACGCTGAGCAGGTAGGGCTGTGGCTAGCTGCAGCCAGGCACCTCTGACCAGACACTGGCCCAGCCCCAAGCTCACAGTGCCAAGAAACATAAGCCAGCCCTGGGGACTGCCAAGACCTGTGTCACCTGTGGCAGAGAAAGGCTTCTTGGCTCTTTTTATATTTGCTCCTCTGGGTTTGTCCTCACAGCAACATTCATATTTGTATGGCTTTGCTCTTAACAGTAGATTAGCTTTTTCCCCTAAGTGTACAGCTACCATGCCTCAATCATGTGTGTGTGTGTATAACATGACACGCCCGAGGACCAAGACTTGCTGAGCCTGATTTGCATTTAGCATCCTTCACCACCTGGGTTAATGGCATTTCAGGAAAGATGAGATGTCTCACGAGGACTGGCTTCAAACATCGGCAGCTTCCAGGAAGCAGCACAGACTCACTACATGGAGTTTCTGCCATCTGCCTCGTGGGAGAATCAGCAAGCTTTTTTGCCGCTTGTGTTCCTCCCGCACATCAATCTGGCACCCACTTTCACATTCTTGCGTTATGTGAAATAATAGCCATCAATCAACTCCTTCGCATAATATCAGCCTTCTACTGGTGGACTATTTATTAAGATGGCTTTGCTATATTATATGCGATTTTTTAAGGAAAAAAAAGGTATTTCCAAATATCTAAATCCTTTCTATTTGACTTTTGATAATTATTAAAATCAACTCATTATTAAAAGAAAACATAAGCTAGTATAGTTTCAACCACCACTGTTGCTGATAGCTTATTCTACAGTTCAGAAGCTATCCTTCAGTCTAAAAGAGCAAAATAAAACCTGCTATACTCACACATAAAACCATCAAGGATTAGGTTTTACAGCTGTAATAAGTGCTTAATCTTAAACACAAATCAGAGACATTCATTCCATTTTAGGATAACTCACAAGGACAGAACAGTCAGTCTAAGGTTTCTTGCACTTCCCAGTTTGACCACCCACCCACTAGCCCGAGGGAAGCTCGGTGTACCAAGCTCAGGGTTGGACACTGGGGTATAAAGATGAGTAACACAGAACACACACACACACAGCCCAAACCATCCAGCAACGTAAACCATCCAGCACTCGCCTTCAATGGAAGCACAAGGTGGGTACTACAAGACTAGAGTAGAGCCTGGGAGACCCTAACAAAATCTGCCTGGTGAGTCTGGAAAAGCTTTCTGGGTAACCCGATACGAAGGATGATCTGGAAGGAGGTGGGAGACAGGAACCAACCCATGGGAAGGGCACATGAGAATGGAGGGCCCAACCTGGGAACAGGTGATCTGAGCTACTGTAAAATACATGAAGGCTTAATTAATGTGAGAGCTAGGGGAACTTGAAAAGCCTCTTGCTCCAAACAGGATGAACTGCAGGCTAAAATACCCGCTCTGAATTGTGTAAATCAGGTTCTGAGAAAGAAAGGGGAACTACCAGGTGCCGGAAACAGATAGGAAGCAGAGAAACAGAGATATGGCAGGGGTTTCCCTCCTCAAGAACCCAAGGCCAGTACCCTATGCACACAGACCAGGCCACGAGCCCTCAGGCAGGCAAGCAGAACCCAGATGTGACCTTCCAGGGCCACAGCCTCAGTGAAGGGCAGGTAAGAAGAAACTGCTAAAGGTCAGAGCATCTTTCCTATGGATGTTCCTAAGTGGATGTTCAGAAACATGATATAAATAGATTAAAATATTCAAAATCTAGCATCTTTAGTATAAAGAAAAAAACTTGCAAAGAAGGTAAATAATCAAAACAGATGTCTAGCACCTTTTAAAAGACAATCAGGATGAATGTGGGCCAGTATTGTGGTACCACAGGATGCCATAAGCAACACTGGCATGCCATATGAGCCTGACTCAAGTCTTAGCTGCCTCACTTTGGATGCATCTCCCTGCGAATGCCTAAGAAAACAGTGGAAGATGGCCCGAGTGTGTGGGACCCTGTTACCCACAGGGGAGACCTAAATGGAGTTCCTGGCTCCTGGCCCAGGCCTAGATGTTGCAGTCACTTGGAGAATAAACCAGTGGATGAAAGATTCCCCACTCCCCTTTTTTCACTGTCTACATAACTCTGCCTTACAAATAATATGTTAAAATTTTAAAAAGATGAACAAAAGACTCTAAATACACCAAAGACTAAAGCAACAAGAGTTTGGGGAAATCCTAGCTGAGGAACACCACAAAGGATTAAGACAATGAAATAAAAATCTACAAAATGACAAAGCTAGATCCATACTGCATAACAGGCAGACAAGTGCCAAACAGATCAAAGATTTAAATGTGAAATGAGATTAAAGAGCTACAGAAAAAAGCATGGAATGGCATCTTCTTAAATTACAACTCAAATCATAAACCATAAGATAAATGAATACATTTAATGTTCTTCATCAAAAAAAGGCTAACATCATATCAAAAAACATTACAAATATCTAATCTCTGCAGTAAAGAAGAGTTCATATATTTTGAAGAAAATAAGCAACAGAACAGAGAAGATATAAAGAGTTCACAGAAATTATCCTTACACATGCTTCATGAAAACAGACTTCATCCTCATTCCAATTCAAAATTTGATCAAAATAAAAACTGTACTGAACCATCATTTCTCTACCAAACCCCCCAAAAAAGATCCTAAAAAGTCTGACCATATACTCAGCAAGCATGGAAAACACATATAGGTACTGTCAAATACTTAGGGATTTTTGTCTGGGCTGGCTTCCAGGGAGAAGAAAATACCCTATCTATCAAAATTAAAATACACTTAGTTTTTGAGCCAGCCATCTCAAAAAGGATTGATTCTGCAAATACACCTGCATGTGTAGGAAATGACTTGGGGACAGGGTTTTTCACAACAGTACAGTTTGTGGAAGACTAGAAATTGCTTACCTCAACAGGGAAGTGGCTAACAAAACTCATGGTCTACCTGCAAACCAAAATGCAATGTCATGGCAAGAGACTGCAAGTTCAGTTGACACCTGGTGATGCAGAGGGTGGAGACCACAGACCACCTTGCACAACAAAGATGGGGGGAAATAAGCATATTGCTTATTTTATAACAAGAAATACTGGAAGCACATACAAGAAATTATTGAAAGTATGCTTTTTGGAAGCAAAGTGGGACTGCAATTAGAAATGTTCCATGTATTCTTTCACACTGATTGGGTTTTTTAAACACTGTGAATGTGTTATGAGTTAAAAAATTAAAAGTCAGTAAGTTTTATGGAGTGGTGTTTGCCAGGATTCAGGGAACAGAGAGAGAAAGAGAGTCAAGAAGGAATCTAAGGAAAGAAGGAATAATTCACTGGGTGATGGGTTTGTGACTGGAAGTGTTGATCAACACCCAGAACTCTACACTAAAAAGCCATCATCCACTGCCTCTCAAGATGCACTTTGGCAGGATACTGTAGCAAAAGTGTTAGCCAGGACTTGAACCAGGAACCGGGACATACAATATGAAGGAACCCTAGTGGTAGCTGAACAGCCCTGTCATGACATTTCTTTTAATATATTCAATTTATTTGAAACGTACAGGGAGGGAGAATTAAGAGAATGAGACCTCCCACCTACCTGCTGACCTACTCCCCATATACCTGCTACAAAATCGCCAGGGCTGACTGGCACTCAACTACATGAGCTATCACCTGGTGTCTGCCAGTGTGTACATTAACGGCAAGCTGTAACAGAGCACAGACCCTAAATCCATATGGATCTATACAAATCCTAAATTCTGATACAGACTGTGGGAGCCCCAGGAGGTTTTTTTACCTACTATGTTCAAGGGTCACTCCAAAAACATTACTAACAAGTTTAATCTAAAGATATCTGCAGAATGTTTCACACATTCAAAATTGTTCTTTGGAGAACAGGGCTCCAGTGGAGTAATCTAAATTTCTGTTTGTGGTGTTAGCATCCCACATAGACACCAGTTCAAATCCTGTCTGCTCCATGTCTGATCCAACTCCTTGATGATGGTCTGGGAAATCAGCAGAGTGGCTCGGCCTCTGCACCCACGTGGGAGACCTGGAAGAGACTCTTGGCTTCAGGATGGCTCAGCTCCAGCCAGTGCGGTCATTCAGGGAGCAAACCAGTAAATGAAGATATCTCTCTCTTCTCTGCAACTCTACCCTTCAAATAAAAGATAAAAACAAAAAGGACAAAGAGAAGTACGAGATAGAAGAGGAAGAGGAGGAGGAGGAAGAGGAGAAAAAAAGGGAGAAGCAGAAGCAGAAGGAAGGGCCCAGTGTGATAGTGTAGCGGCTGAAGTCCTTGCCTTGTACACACCAGGATCCCACATGGGTGCTGGTTCATGTCCCGGCAGCCCTGCTTTCCATCCAGCTCCCTGCTTGTGGTCTCGGAAAGCAGTAGAGGATGGCCCAAAGCCTTGGGACCCTGCACCAAAGTGGGAGACCTGGAGGAAGCTCCAGGTTCCTGGCTTCAGATTGGCTCAATTCTGGTCATTGCGGCCACTTAGGGAGTGAATCAGCAGACAGAAGAGCTTCCTCTCTGTCTCTTTTCCTCTGTGTGTAATCTGACTTTCCAATAAAATAAAATAAATCTTTTTTTAAAAAGTAAATAGAATTATATCTTGGGGCTAAGCCAATCCTTGGGTCACTGCATCTCCTATCAGAGTGCCTGGGACCAAACTTGCCTGCATTTCTGATCTTCAGCTTCATGCTAATGTGCCTAGAAAGTGGCAGATGATGGTTTAAGCATTAGGGTTCCTGCCACACATTCAGGAAATCTGGATGGCTCCTGGCTTCAATCTGGTGGTGTACCCTTGGCTATTGTAGGCATTTGGGGAATAAACCATCAGACAGATCTCTCTCTTCCTCTCTCTCACCCTCTTCCTCTTTGACTTTAACATAAATAAGCTTTTCTTTTTCAGTTACCCTTAAAATTTACAAAGAAGTGACCAATTCAAAAACCAATTTCAACATTACCAAGACTCAAGATCAGCTATGTTCAACCCATAAAGGAATGAAATTAGATACATCAATAATCACCGTTAACTGGGAAGAATACATAAGGGGATTAGCTTTTTTTTTTTTTAACAGAATCTAAAGTAGATAATCTAAATTGTCTAAATTGTATGTGTGTACCATCCACACTGGTGCAGTTTTTTAAAATGTGCATTGCAGTGCCTCATCCCAGACCTAATGGATGGGCGGGCCTCAGCTCTGACATACACATGGGAACCTGGGGATCTCTCAACAGTCAACTTTCCCAGCCGACAGGAAAGCAGACACATCCGAGTATCGCCAAGTCCAAACACACTTCATTTACACTTCATGTAAAAGATCATGATAAAGAGCCAGTTTTCTGTAAAAATAGCCACAAAAGTATATCTTTAAGAAAGTGCCTATGAAACTCTGATACAAGTGCCATTGAGTAAATGCAAATGAGTTTTTCAATATGGTTTAAATTTCTTCTCAGAAGTTGTCAGGATGTTTATACTGGCATGCTTCTCACTTTTAAAAATGTGACTATTTTCAGTTCTGTGGGATCTCACCAGACAGTACTTACATACACGTCCAACCTCACTGAAGACATTCCTCAACTCTCTGACCAAGTTATACATTTGTTCCTTTCAGCTAGCCATTCTGAATGACAGCAGACAAGGACATTTGTCAGGCCTATATTGAGGAATGTTGGCAAATTCCAACATTTTCAAATGCTAGGCTGTGGGTATAACCATGTCAACTTGAGATATTAAAATTGTGAAATCTTCTGTGGATTGAACATAACAAACATATATCCAGGGCAATCAGCTGGGTTTACTCATTCACTAATTGATGTGATACTGCTCACACAAGGCCATTTCCTGGAAGATTTATTTATATGTCTATCACCCCAGTAGAATACAAACTCCTTGAAGGTCAGCGGTTATCTTGTGCGAAGCTTCCTGTTAGAAGCACAGTGTCTAATATATTCCAGACTTGATAAATGTTAGCTGCATGAGTGACAAGTACTTGGCCAATGGCCATCAGTTAGAAGCAGAGCCAGAGGCTAGTGCCATGGCACCTATGGTGCTGGCATCCCATTAGGATGTCGATTCGAGTCTCAGCTGCTCCATTTCTGATCCTACTTATGGCTGGGAAAGCAGTAGAAGATGGCTCAGGTCCTTGGGACTCTGTGCCCACATGGAAGACCTGGAAAAAGCTCCTGAATCTTGGCTTTGGATTGGCTCTGTTTCAGTTATTGTAGCCATGTTGTGATTGAACCAGTAGATGGAAGCTCTCTTTCTCTGTCTCCCTTTTTTCCATAACTCTGCTTCTCAAATAAAAATTAAAATCTCAAAAAGAAAAAGAAATTGCAGAGTCGAAGCAAAAGCCCATAGCTCCACCTATTAGATCAGGTTTCAACCCACTCCGTGCCATCATATTGCTTCCCATCCTTCCCCCAGAACGTGTTGCCAAAAGGCTGACACTTTACCAAGTAACATTTTGCCTGATCTCACCACCTTTCAGCTCCCCTTTATTATTATAAACAGCCAGCCTCTCTCTGGCCCTGCAGTGCCCAGGGCTGAGCCAAGCCAAAGCTGGAAGAAAGGAACTCAAATGTAGCTCAGCTTTGTGGGTGACAGGAACGCAAATTCTTGAAGCATCAGTACTGCCTCCTAAGCTGGGGTGAGTAGGGAGCTACGGTCAGGAGCTGGTACCAAGTACTGAATCCGGGAACTATGACATGGACTGGGTATCTGAACTAATAGCCCCTCTTTTTAACTCTTCTCTTTTTTAAAGGGTTTATTTATTTGAACATCAGAGTTACACACAGAGAGAAATACACACACATGCATGATTTCCAGATGGTGGAAATGACCAGCACAGGGTTAGACCAAAACCAGGAGCCAGGAGCTTCTTCCAGGTCTCCCAAATGGGTGACAGGAGCTCAAGTTCTTGGAACAAGTTCTCCTGCTTTTAACATGCAAATAAAGCAGAGAGCTAGATCACCAATGGAGCAGCTGTAAGTAAACCAGCACCCGTAACAGATGCCAGTAGTGGCTGGTTTCGCCAGCTATGCCACAATGCTGGCCCCTCTCTCCTTAACAGGTATCATCATCCTTGCAGAAACATGAAAGTAAACCGATACATTTTGATTTACTGGAGTTAAACACTTAACAATTGCTTTGGGAAATGTCCACACAGACCATTCTTTCAGTTAAAAAAAAAGACTCATTGCTTTCATGCTGAGTGAATGAGCATGGGGAGGGGGAGCGCTGGAGGCTGAGCATTCTACTGGTGCAGGGGTAGAAAACTCATCTGCTACCTTCCTAACATTTAGTGACTTCTTTGAAAAGATTTTTGTGTCTCAGTCAAATTTCTGTTATGAGAATTCTGAGTTAGGTTTTCTGTTTTTCTGATGGTTTTAATCACAAAAGTTCTTATCCTTGTAATGATTTAAAGAACAGATGTTAGACATTTCTCAAAGGAAGATACACAAAATACTCAATATCACTGACCATTAGGGAAAAAAAATTAAAACCACAGTGAGGTCTCGCCTCACATCTGTCAGAACAGCTATTATCAAAAAGACAAAAGATACCGATTGTGATGAGGACATGTATGATGTTGGCAATATCAAAAACTAGTGTAACCACTATGGAAAACTATATACAAATTCTTCCAAAAGAAAACAACTCCCACTAAAAACAGGAGTACGAAATGATCTAGCAAGCAGCCTTACTCTGGATATTGAGCCAGAACACCTGAAATCAGTATGGTGACAAGACACCCGCCTGGCATGCTTATGTTTATCACTTTATTCACAACAATCAAGTCATGAAATCAACCTAAGTCCATCAATGGATGAATAGATGGCATATAAGCATAATGGAATATTACTTAGCTAAAAAAAAAAAAGTAAATTGTGTCACTTGCCACAGGACAAATGGAAATGGAGAATGTTAAGTGAAATAAGCCAGACACAGAAAGACAGATATCACTTGTTCTGACGTGTATGTGGAATCTAAAACTCTGAACATGAAGAAACAGAGAATAGAATGATGGTCACAGAGGCCAGGAGGCTGGGGAATAAGAAAACAGTGGTCAAAAGAGTACAAAGCCCTAGCTAAAAAGGAGAGACCTTTTTGTTTTGCTTTCCTTCGAGATATATTGTACAACATGGTGGATATAATGAAAAAATAATACATTATTATAAATTCCAAAATTATGAAGACAGTGAAGTTTAGATGTTGTTATTACAAGAAGTAAGTATTAGAGGTGATGGATATGTTAACTAGTTTGATTTAATTATTATACACTGCATTCATGGATCATAACATCACTTTGCACTCCGTAAGGATACACAGTAATTTGTCAATTTCTCATTTAAAAATAACAGCAAACTAATTACCATCTTTAGTGTGAAAATAAAAATGACTCAAATCAAGCTCAGAATTTTTTTTTGACTGAAGATAACTACTGAAATATCAAACAACAAATCCTTAGCCAAGCCCTCTGGCAAAAAAACATAGATGTAAAATGTCCATTTGTCAACTTTCTTGTCCAGTGTAAGTTTACTTACCCTACTGTCTCTATAGATGTCAAACACAACTGTAAAGAAGAAAAAAAAACTCGGTTATTAATAATTCAGTTATTAATAAGGCAGTATTTCAGTGATCTAAATCTCCTTAGGAAAATTAAAGTGTATTTAACATAGTTTATATAACAAAAATAACATAACAAACATAACAAAATATAATTGACCTTGGATATTTAAAACTTCTAAATCTCAAAACTGCACACTTTAAAATGTCACCCTGTGCTATTTTACTTGAACAACACTGCTTTCCTTTTCTCTATCCCCACTTACAACCCCTCCTGCTTAAAAATCCTCATGCTTAAACGTCCTCATTGTCTCATTGTCTCAACCAGTGCACCATTATAAACTGGCTTATAATGAAGCTGTCACTAAAGAAAGTACTAGTGAAAGGAGTAGCAATCAGTTACTTAGGGAATGACATGAGTAGCATCCAATATGAAAGTATATCATCTACCGGTTCTGGCTTGTGTCCTAGCTGCCCCACTTCCCATCCAGCTCCCTATTCATGGCCTGGAAAGCAGCAGAGGATGGCCCAATACCCTGGGACCCTGCATCCACATGGGAGATCGGAAGAAGCTCCTACTCCTGGCTTTCGATCAGTTCAGCTCCAGCTGCTGTGGCCACCTAGGGAGTGAATCAGTGGATAGAAGACCTTGCTCTCTCTGTTCTTCCTTCTCTCTGTAAATATGACTTTACAAAAAAAAAAAAAAAAGTCTAAATCTTTAAAATTAAAAAGAAAAAAAAGGCTATCTCCCAGAGTCTACAACTTGAGCAACAAGTTGGGGTCAGGAGTAGGGGCTGGGAATTGAATATGGCTGCCCCAACATGGGACTGAGACATCTTATCCACTAGGCCCAATGCATGGCCCGGGTTATCTTCTACAGATGCCAGTCTTGGTAAGCAAAGGAAATGTAAATAACACAGAGACACAATTTCAAAGTGTTTAAAAATTCTCTCACACACAATTTACTTTCAGTTCCTAAAACCAACTTGCAGTTGTTTACTTCAGAAGTGGTGCTGTCTTGTTCATTCAGAGAAGTCAAGCTGGCAGACCTTTTCTAATGCACAAATATCTAGAGTGACACGACAGAGAACCAGCTCTGTATTAAAAGGGGATTCCCACTCAGTAAGGAAAAATCAGCATGCAAACCATCAGCAATACCATAAAACAACAGGGTACAATGCTTCATTCAGAAACAGTATTTCAACCAGTTTTTAAAACATAGATGGATCCAACAGCATTATGTATTCCACCTTTTCTTTTTTCATTTTTTTTTTTTGCATCAATAAAAAATACTCACAGTCTTCGTCTAAGAATTTGTACTGGATGTGTTTCTTGAAAAAATCTTGTATGCACCTGCAAATGTCTTCCTTTTGTTTAGAAATATGATCATAGTATTGTGTGTAATCCCTTTGAGAAATACCTGCCAAGATAATGTTTCAATTATTATACCATGTTTTTTTTAAAAAAATATCAACATGTGATTTAAACTTTTTTTTTGAGAGAACCACAAAAGCAGATCAGAGATTAATCAGATGAATATTGCCTTCCACCCTAATCAGCTGTAAAAATTCATATGGATACGTGAATCCTGAAGCAATATACTGCCATGCATTCTTACTTTAGGAAAGTTATTTTTACTTAGTACAATGGAAAGAATTCAAAGTTACAAAACAGCTAGTTATGTAAGAAATGAAACAAGCAATTTTTAAACCTGCACCCATAGTCATCAGCTGCTGCTTGGATTTCTCAAGCATATCTCTACAAGCTGTATTTTCTTCCACTTCAGGAACACTTTACTGCCACATTCCCACCAGGTTTCATCAGAGTAGACTGCTTCTTGCTCTAAAAAGCTCTACCTTACCTTCCCAAGCCTGACGCAAACCCTCCTCTTTTTAAAGCGACTTGCTGCTGTGAGTCCAAAGGCACTGAGGCCTACTCTCTGCTCTCTCCCTTTGCTAGAGTCCTAGGAAAAAGGCCTCTGCTCTGAAGTGAGGACTTCCAATTCCTTATTAACATGCCGACATGACTGCCCTCTTTAGCACACTTACACTGCAAGCATTTCAGGAGTAGGTGACACTATGACAAATTCAAACTCAGCAGATTAATTAGCATTTATCAGTAATTAGTACGCATTTGATTCTACTCAAATTGCACTTTCCTGGGTTGAACATAAATTTTTATTTTATGGAAAACAGAGACAGAAGGATTTATTCATTATGAATAAATCATAGCAAACAAAACATCAACCTGAAGAGTTTCAGATTAATTCACTTGTTTCTCCATATATTTTCTCTTACTAAAATAACAAAAGTGCATCAATAACATAATTAAAGGTGCAAAATCTTGGCTTTTTATGTTGCTTTAAATAAGTAACCTAGATACTTAAAGTATCTCAAACCATAAGCAAGCAATACTATATATGTGTGTATTTATCTCCAAATTTAAGCCCAGTAACTGTTAACCGTTTCATTCTGCAAGCTAGCTAGCCATGACCCCAGCTTCTGTGGACACTGAGCTAAGGCTCAAGATCGTTCCCAACCCAGTATTCCAGAGCCAGTACTGACTGGGCAGAGGCGGCCTCTGAGATGAAAACTGATACAGGCCCTTGTCTCATTTACTAGAAATTTGCCTCTGTCATAGCTTAACTTTCCTTTGTTTTCTTCTTTTGACACATAATAATTGCACATATCATCGCTTCTCGGCCTTATGGCTAACATCAAGTGTAATAATTGCACATATCTATAGGGTACACTGCTATACATGTATATACATAATGATAAAATTGGCGTATTTCTACAATGGAATACTATTCAGTCATAAAGGAGAATGGATTTCTGTCACTCATAGCACCATAGTTGTCTTATTTTACAGTACTTTTTCTGAAACTGTATTTATATATTTATTCGAAAATGAACCTTGCCAGAGATCTTCCACCTTCTGATTCACTCTCCAACAGCTGTGACAGTCAGAACTGGCTCAGACCAAAACAAGGAGCCTGGAACTTCATCCAGGTCTTCCACTTGGTTAGCAGGGGGTAAGCACTTGGCCCATGTTCACTGCCTTCTCAGGGATATCAGCAGGGAACTGGATCAGAAGTGGAACTGCCAGGACTTAAACCAGCACCCTTCTAAGATGCCAAAATCATGGGTGGTGGCTTAACTCACTGTGCTATACCAGCCTCCACGAGTACTTTGAAACATAAACCTAACTCACCAAGAAGCTTGTTTTCCTTGACAAAACATCTGAATTCAGCTCCTGGAATCAATTCGCACCATTTTCGAAGAATAAGCTATAGACAAAGGAAAAAAAAATGTACACAATTATGCAATAAGATGTAGACAATTTTACACCAGAACTTTATCTTAATGACTGTTGCATTCAAATTGTTTTAAAAAGAGACATCATAAAACATCCTTACGATGAGATATGAAAATACAGCTTTGATTTATTATTCTAATAAGCAGGGGAAATTGTACTAAAATTCCATGTTAAGAATGCAACTTTTCCACTTTTCATGTTGAGAGTTCTGACAGAATACATAACACTAAGGAGGACAAAGTGAAATGTTATCACCACCACACGCTACCCCTCTCGCTTTCTCCCTCCCTCCAGAACTCTAATTTTCAAACAGATAAATAAAACATTAAACAAACAAACTAAAAAAGAACCCAAGTATTAAATGAAGAACCTCAAACCAAAATTTCATGCAAGTCATAACTACTAAAAGCCGACAGCAGCATATAAACGTTTGGTGGCTACAGTGATTTTTATTTGCAGAAAATAAGCAACTGTACCATATGATAGTAATTTTTCAAATTTACATAAATGTTATTTAAATAATGTCTGGTACAAGCAGTTTATACACTGTGATTCATTTTTAAAGACACCAAAGGGTAAAAAGTAATGCTCTCCTCTACGCTGTCCCACCTTCCTTCCCAGAGAGAATCGTGCTGTCAGTCGCTTCCACATCCCTCCCGAGGTATCTATGACTACAGTACATGATATTATTGTAATTACGTAAAGAGCATCACTTTCCTAGACATTAACAGCTGGGTTTTACACTATGCCCACTAATATGCTGCTGATGCTGCCAGAGAAAACTGCTGGTGAGCAGTTTGGGGGCAGACAATGGCATTTCAGTGAGGATCAAGGCTCAGTAAGGCCAAGGAAACGATCCTAGTTTTTTTTTTTTTTTTGCTTGTTTTGTTTTGTTTTTTTAAGGAAACTATCTTCTCTCTTGTTCAAGCTTGTTTCCAGCACAAAGTAACACAAGACACAAGGCATGGCAGGTGTTTAACAGATAGATGCTTATTCAGTAAAACAACAGATGTGAATAGATAACATATTTAAATAGAGTATATATTTAATATTTGTATTATAATGCTACAAAGGACTGTTTACACTATGCAGCTAACTTAAGGAAACGTCACAAATTGTAGGCAAAATTTTCAAATACCAATGCTCTAACATCTAGTAATTATTTAATAGCCTGAAAGAGAGTCAACTAACTGGTCTATATTTACTGAATAATCAATCATAAAATCAATACATACTCAAAACACCAAAATGACTCAGTGCCGTGAGTCAGCAAATTTGGAAAGCATGTGTAGTCACAGAAGTGGCTAGAAGCAGACAGATCATGAGGAAATAAACAAAAAACAAAAAACAAAAACTTGCTGCACTAATTTAATTGGTATCACAAAATAAGAGTTTCAAACGGTTTGAAGTTATGGAGCAAAGCGACACTGTCAGGCGCAAGAACCAAGGATGAGGGTGACAAGCTCCAGCCAGGATGGAGCTGTAACAGGATCAGCATCCAGAGGGTTAGGCTCCAGATTTGCTCATGGCACGGGTGAGTGGCCACAGCTGAGAGCACTGGCTGTCGTGCGTGCAGCATGTATGACTTCAGAACCAGGAAAACGGGAAGTAAAAATTGGGGTTTGCTTTTACATTTAACAGAATTTCTAATGAAGTTATAATATCACTAGCCTTTCATTCCTCTCTAAAGCTACCTGTAAAATGAATGAACAATGTAAATAAATAAATAAATGAAATGGTGAAGATCTTATCTCTTGGTATATGAGGTTAAAAACCTGAATCAGAGCCAGTAGGGTAGAGAGTTCCAAGGTGTTTAATTGAACATTATTTATATTTTAAAGATATTTTTATATATTCATATATATCCTGAGCATTATATACATATTTCATAAATTTAAACATTCAGTGGCTCTAAAATTTTTCATTTGTTTAAGAACAAAGAGCAACTCTTAACTTGCTTTTATGTAGGATTATCAAGATCATACAAAAAAGTTTCTTGAATCTTGACTGAATTTGAAATGCAATACAGCAACAAGGTGGAGGAATCCACCATGGGGGAAGAGAATGGGGAGGGACTGGGGGATTTCCAGAGCCTATGAAACTGTGTCAGATGATGCAATGTAATTATTTAAAATATATATATTTAAAAAAAAAGTTTCTTGCTGCTGGCACTGTGATGTAGTGGGGTAAGCCACCACCTGCACCACAAGGCAGCCCGTACGGGCGTCAGTTCATGTCCCATCTGCTCTACTTGTAATCCAGCTTCCTGACAATGTGCCTGGGAAGCAGTGGAGGACGGCCCAAGTACTTGGTCCCCTGTACCTATGTGCAAGATCTGAAAGAAACCCCTGGCTCCTGGCTTCATTCTGGCCTAGAAATGACCACTGAGGCCATTTGGAGAGTGAATTAGTAGATGGAAGATGTCTGTTTTTTCTCTGTAACTCAGCCTTTCAAATAAATAAAATAAATCTTTCAAAAAGAGTTTCTTACCTCATATTCTATACAAGGATCTGGAGAATCATCAGTACAGTGAATAAATCTTTAGAAGGAAACAAAAAACCACAACTGAATCTTTTTTTCAAAACTGAGGTCAGTTTATGCATACAAACTTACTTACACTTAACACTAGAGTAATGTCTTACCGAGAGCATCTGGAAACATGAGATTAATTCAGATTCAATGAACAGTTATTAAGCATTATTGGACGCTACATCTAGGAACAACAATGAATCCTTAAAAAATATCAGGATGAACCCTTATAATCCTAGACATAGATAGCATAATTGACATTTTAATCAAAGAACATGAAATTAAGACCCAGAAAGCCCAAACCGAACAACCAGCCCGTATCGTCCCTCCAGCTCCAGCTGTCTAACTCCAGATTCGCTCTGCCGACCGACACATCCCCTCTATGATCCAATGTACTTCCCCTCTTCACTAATTCTGCCAGACAGCCACCAAAACTTAATCTGTCTCCCCAATGCCATTTGAGAAAACATTTGACACAATTATCCAATCCTCCACTAAATCAATGCTTCCTCCCTGAAAGTCCTGCTTCATGAACAATATTTAATATAATTTATTCAAAGTCGATCTAGGCCAAGGACCAGCCTAGATGCTGGGAATGCTAACACTGAATTATGACTCTCTGGTTCTTTGGAAGCTCAGTCTGGCTGAAAAAGCTAACAAGGCAGAGAAGCTCAAAACCCTGGGGAAAACAAGGACAAAACCCTAACAGTGCAAAGGAAGAAACAAGGGCTGACAGTGTGTGTCGCAGGGAGACAGCACAGGGGAAGCATGTGCTAAGACACGAAGGAAAGTGAGGTGCCACCTGACAAGGTGGTTCAGACATGGAGGTGAGGAGAATCACTTGGAGGGCTAAGGAATGCCGCGCAAAGACGGAACTGCTGCAACATGATGCGGAGCAGAAACTTCAGACCAGGAATATACAGAGTGTGAAGGGTCTTGTTGGCCCACCTAAAGAGGTAGTGGTTTATTGCGTGGACAATTTGGAACTGTAAGAAGTTTCTAAATAGGATAGGGAGAGAAGGTCTTCAAAAATTTCATGGGAAATGTTTGTTATGAAAACAAAAAGGGAACAGGGGATGGGAGTGCGCAGCACTGTGGCACAGCACGTTAAGCCTCCGATTGTGGTGCTTAACCATAGTGCCTATTTGATTTTCAGCAGTTCCACTTCTGAACTGTCCATGTCCCTGCTAATGTGCCTAGGAAAGCAGCAAAAGGTGGCATAAGTGCTTGTGACCCTGGACCAATGTTGGAGACCTAGAAAAAGCTCCAGGTTAATGGTTTTGCATCTGCCCAACTCCAGCTGTCACAGCCATTTGGGGAGTGAACTAGCAGATGGAAGATCTCTCTCTCCTCTCTCTGTAACTCTGCCTTTCAAACAAAAATAAATCTGGCAGACACCAGCAAGGCAGTTATGACAGCCTTGGTGAGAGACAAGAGGTTTACTAAGGCAACACAAGTGGAAGGTAGAGAAGTGGCCTAGTCAGTATAAATTGGTGGCTGGCTGAAAGGCACGGAGGAGCAAAAGCGAGGCCAGGGTGGCTCGTGCGAGCCTGGCTTTTGTGACTGGCTGGTGACTGAAGGTGATGCGTTTCACAGGAGGAGGTGTGGGGTGAAGACAGACAGGAAAGAGCTATGCTTCACTGTGTCTTTGAGGCATCTATGCGAGGCCACCAAGAGCTGCTGACAGGGTGGTTCAGAGACGGAGGGGAGGATAATCACTTGGAGGGCTAAGGACAAGCCCAGGAAGTAGAGGGCGTCTCCTCAGGGGGTGACAGAAGCCTGGGATGTGCCAATCATTCAAGAGTGGTAAAAGAAAAAGAAGCTGAGGAAAAAGTGAAACTTACAGATGGAGAGGAATCAAAACTGCCTTCTGAAAGTCAGAGGAAGAGAATTTCAACAGTAAGTGGGGAGTTGACTCAAACATCATGACAAAGTATCAGACTGCCCACTGGATCTGGTATTTCTGCTATGTGAATTTCACAGTATTCTGACACAGACAGAAACAAGATTAGAGACAATCAAGGAATGAACAGGAAGTGAGGGAAAATAATAAGCCCCTGACAGCAGCCTGATTGTGAAAAGCAGAAGACAAAGGCCCCGCAGAGGACAGGACAGGGAGCGCTTGGAGGCTAGAGTTTCCAGTTTCCGTGATTTAGTCCTTAAGAATGACCGTCAGCAGGGAAGGCTGGATACTCTACACAGCAGACAACTTTCAGAACAGAACTCGTAATATACAACATATACACAGTTAAGGTACATTCTAAAAGGTACAAACAATGCTTATCATGATGTTAAACAATTCACAAGTAAAAATGAATTTGAAGAAACCTAGTATGTGATCAACTTGAAATTCTCTATATCATTGATGGTCTGTCCTACAAACAATATTAGTATGACTGACTGAAATTCTAAGCAAATAGAACTTTAAGTGCCGGTAGTAATCAGGTGCTGATTCATAGAATCCACATTGTAAAGGCATACACACGATGTTTTGTTAAAAAGTCAGTGAGTTTTCTCTACCAGTAGCTTTACTTGTTGAATAATAAATACATGCCAGGCATCATACACAGCACTTTATATTAGCCACTTAATTTAACCCTGCAGTAATCCTCCGAGAAAGTGCTATTACTATGGCCCACATGAATCAGATAAGGATACCAAGGTTCAGACTGTGAGGTAACAGGTGAGAGCGCTTAGTACACCATCTACTGGACCATTTCTCTCCAAGATGCAGATGTCACATCTGCTGCTACAGCTCTCAGACTGAGTTAAAGAAAAAAACAAACAAACAAACAAACAAAAAAAACCCTCCATAAATCCAAGCATAACTTAAGCAGCTAAAACAGAAAACAAAACTATCTTTAGCTAAATCCTATTCCCACAATATAAAACACATCTTCCAACACATCGATGTATAAAACTTCTGTTTCTACACATTATAACACACGGGTGCTATTTTAAGACCTCATTTTTCTCCAGAAAGCAAAATTCCCTTGCTTCAAATAAAACTAATTTAAGAGTATACCCAGAAGAGTTACAATCTAAAACTAGAAAACTAGATCTTAATATATTTAAAGAACTTTTAAATAAAAATTAGTCTCATAAGTTGTTTTATATTAATCAAAATTAAGGTCATGAACTGTCAGGTTAATAAAAATTAACATAACTATTTTTATCCTTACAAAGTACCTCCTTCTTTTCCTCCCAGGAGCAACAGATTGGCATGCATTCAGGGTGTTTCTAGACCTCTCCACTGGACATTTTTAATCATTTATGAAACTTACATTGGACATGGCCACTACAGAGACAAGTATTTTTAAAAATACAAGACAGAGTTGGAAAAAATTAAACAAAACAATGTGGCAGTATCTTAATGCTTATTGTAACAACAGAATTCCTATCATTTTAATGTGTGAAATGTGATTTCAGGGGGCTGGTGCTGTGGTGTGGCACATGAACCTCTGCCTATGGCACCAGCATTCCATATGGGCACTGGTTTCTGTCCTGGATGCTTAACACTTCAGCTCTCTACTTGTGCCTGGGAAAGTGGCACAAGATGGCTCAAGTCTAAGGGCCCCTGATCCCATGTAGGAGACCTGGAAGAAGCTCATGGCTCCTGGCTTCAGATTGGTTCAGCTCCAGCCACCATAGCTATTTAGGGAGTAAACAGTGAATGGAAGATCCCCCCCTCTCTGCCTCCTTCTCTTGTATAAACACATTTTTTTTAACTGACATGTGATTTTAAACATCTGGTGATGAGGGCAGTTTCCTGACATTATTCTGCAAGGAAGAAAATACAATAAGATTCTTTATGTGGGCCTGGTACAGTAGCCTAGCAGCTAAAACCCTCACCTTGCATATGCCAGGATCCCATATGGGCACTGATTCTAATCCCAGCGGCCCTGCTTCACATCAAGCTCTGCTTGTGGGTCCTGGGAAAGCAGTCCAGGATAGCCGAAACCCTTGGCACCCTGCAGCCCCATGAGAGACCTGGAGGTCTCCTAACTCCTGGCTTCGGATTGGCTCAGCTCTGGCCGTTGAGGCCACCTAGGGAGTGAATCAGTGGATGGAAGATCTTACTCTCTGTATATTTGATTTTCCAATAAAAATAATTAAATAAATCTTAAAAAAAAAGATTTTATGTTTACCAGTCTTATAAAATACTACAGGAAAACTAAAGGGGTAATTTGAAAACATGCAGCTGCTATTCAAGGTTCCTAAGAATGGTTTCACACTTCTTCACATTTCAGTTTTAACCCTTAACTACAGCAGGTCCACGGTTTAAAACACACTGCATTGTGCCATCTTGCAACACTCCTGTAAAGGGTAGACTGGTTGAACATGCGTGTTACGTTTTAAGTCGCGAGTTTCAGAAGGTACAAGGAGAACATATGTGGTACAGGAGATTACTGCATGTGGCCTTTTCTTATTAAGGTGATTAACCAGATGGCCGAGAATCTCTGCAAACAAAAAAGCCCCAAGTCATTCATTCAAGACTGAACAGAAGGTCAGTAATAATATTTCCGAAGCTCAGCTGACAAACTGCAAAGGTGGCTGTGTGTGAATAAAATCCATTTATATTCTTTTTTTAAAAATATATTCCTGACAAGGTAGGTTGATTTAAAAAAAATTCTGAAATTTTTTTCCTGGGTTAGTAAGTAGTAGATATACTAATTGAGAAGATTTCTTTCACTATATATTCCAAAGAAAGCACCAACAGAAAGTAGGTTTTAGGGGCCTGTGTAACTAAATAATCCTCCCTTTAGAAGCACCAATTCCCATATGGGTGCCAGTTTGTGTCCTGGCTGCTCCACTTCCAATTCAGCTCCCAGCTTATGATCTGGGAAACAGCAAAAGGTGGCCCAAGTCCTCGGGTCATGGTACCCTGTGGAAGACAAGGAAGAAGCTGCTGACTCCTGGCTTTGGATCAGCTCGGCTCTGGCCCATGTGGTCATCTGGGAAGTGAACCAGCGGGTAGATCACTCTTTCTGTGTTTCCCTCTCTCTCTGTAACTCTGAACTTCAAGTCAAATAAATAAATCTTTTTCAAAAAGAAAGTAGGTTAAACCAAGGCACTAATTTAGGTTGAAAGCAGGCTCTTTTGCTAAATTCTATGCTCATAGTTCTTCACAGCACAATTATAAATTCTCTAGTAGCCATGAAAACTCTAAATATAAATGTTATTAAACAATGTTTGTGATCTACTATACAAATTATAAACAAACAATTCTCAAATGTAATAACAGATTTTATTTTGAAGTAAGAAAGAGAAAAATCTTCAAGGTCTACTTTGATGAGCTACTACAAATTATGGCAGCCCGTTTTTTAATGACCTAGGAAATGTACCAGTGCCACTGGAGAACAGTGTTCTAGATCAAAATTATTGGAAAAAAAAAAAATCCTAGCCCCAAAGCGAAAGAGGTAGGCCTAGCTAGCACAGATGACTAGCAAGATTGTTCTTGGTTTTCCTTTTATTTCTCCCCAAGCTCCTTCCCAAATCATCCCCCTGATTTAAACAAGGTTGAGCTTCCTGCCAGACAAATAGTCTGCTTCCCTTCCAGCTCCCTGCCTGCTGCCTGGGAAAGCAGTCGAGGACAGCCCAACGCCTAGGAACCCTGTACCCATGTGGGAGACCAAGAGGAGGTTCCTGGCTTCAGATTGGCACAGCTCTTGCCATTGTTACCACTTGGGGAGTGAGTCAGCAAACGGAAGATCTTCCTCTCTGTCTCTCCTCCTCTCTGTATATCTGACTTTCCAATGGGGGAAAAACAAAATGTGTTTTAAAAAAGAAGAGTACAATTCTTTAGATTGAACAGGATCATAATGGTGATTAAATATAACCCTCTCCTTGTATAGATGGGATGCAGGGCTTCTGGGATTAGAACTGGTGCCCATATGGGATCCTAGTGTGTACAAGGCAAGGACTTTAGCCACTAGGCTACTGCGCTGGGCCCAAGAACTGTACTCTTAAATATGGATATTGAAGCACTGCAAGTTAAGCCACCATGCAGGATCGCAGTGCCTGGAATCAGATCCTGCCTTCCTTTCTGATCTTGCTTCCTGTTAATGCATACCCTACAAGGCATCAGGTGACAATTCAAATGCTTGGATCCCTGTCACAACAGAGGCCACATGGAACTCGTACCTCCTGGTGAGGGTCTGATTCAGCTCTGGCTGCTACAGGTATTTAGTGAGTAAATTAGGTGACAGATCTGTGCTGCTCTTGTAAGTAAATAAAAATAAGTAAACTTAAAAAAATTAAAGAATTATATGCTTAATCTTATAAGAGCTCTTAAAAAAGTCTTTGTGAAAAAGATCATTTTCCATGAGGTCTATCAATCAGGAATTTTTACCTGACCCTAACAGTTACGCAACATTGTTATACAAATCCCTCCAGAGCAGATGGAGTCCCGAGTAATGCCCTGCTACAGGCGGAAAGGGTGAGGTGCAGAACTGACCCTGCCCACTCACAACTGTTTATGCTAGAGAAGGATGGCAATCTGTGGGTAAGCACTTAATTCCAAGGCCTCAAATTCACTTACTGGCTTAACTTCCTTCCCAAGTACAAGCCAAATAGCACAAAATGGAAGGCAGTTGACTATTTCTACTTGCCACTGGAACAACAGCTAAAATCAGTTAACAAGGGTGTGGGGCTAGGATGGAGAAGGGGAGGGGAGAAGTGGTGTTGTGGCATTACGAGTTAAACTACCATCTGTAATGATGGCACTCTAATTGGGTGCCAGATCAAGTTCTAGCTGTCCCATTTCCAATCCAGGTCCTTACTAAATGCACTTGGAAAAGCAGTAGATGACCCAAGGACTTGGGCGTCTGCCCCACGGGTGGGACCTGAAAGAGGATCTGGGCTCTGGGCTTTGGCCTGGCCGGTCCCAGGCAGGATGCCGTTTGTGGCTATTCAGGGAATCATCCAGTAGATGGAAGCTCTCTAACTCTTTCAAATAAATAAAATAAATCTTTTTTAAAAAATGAGTCCTAGAAATAAGAGGTAGGAGCAGACAGGTAAATCCAAAGCTGAGTTTTATAAATATAACTTCAAAATTAAAAGTGATTTATAATTTTTTTGGAAATGCAACATAGCCTCACACTGTCACTACAACTAACACTAAAAGTACAAAGAAACTGACATCAGGGAATTTATAGGTGCAAAGTAATTTTCAAACTTCTTTAAAAGAATAAATGTCAAAAATGTCAAATTGTTTGATAAAATGATAAATTTTGATAAAATGTCAAAAAATTTATATAATGAAAAACAAAAACAAGGCTTCTTTTCAAATAAAGGGTCTCTCTTAGAGAGAAAATACTATTGCACTTTCACCAAAACAAGGACTACCATTAATACCTGTGTACAAAGACTGACAGCTGGGCCCAGCGCTATGGCTCAAGGGCTAAATCCTCGCCTTGCACATACTGGGATCCCACATGGGCACTGGTTCGTATCCTGGCTGCTACACTTCCCATCCAGCTCCCTGCTTGTGGCCTGGGAAAGCAATGGAGGTCGGCCTAAAGCCTTGGGACCCTGCACCCCTTGTGTGGGAGACCCGGAAGAAAGCACCTGGCTTCGGATTGGCTCAGCTCAGGTCACTGCAGTTACTTGGGGAGCAAATCAGTGGAAGGAAGATTTTTTTTTTTTCTGTATGTCCTCCTCTTTGTAAATCTGCCTTTCCCAATACAAATAAACAAATATTTTTTAAAAACTGACAATTAAATATCAAAATAATATGCTTTCTGGTAAAATAACAAAAAAAAAACAATAAAGGTAAGATTCTTTAATAATAAACTTGCAATGCAACCACACTTGTTAACCACTGCCTAACCCTGTTTTGTCTAATTAATACAGAACTAAAGCACATGCCCAAGCTGGGGTGCCAAGTTACCACAGTCTTGATGCAATACTGCCAGGTGGTAATCTGTTCATGGCAGCCTCCATTTGAAAAGGGAACTGGGGCTGGACTGAAGGATTGGTAAAGCAAAGTAAGCTAGACAGATGGGGAAGGAGAGGCGTGCATTCTCATTGCTGTTCTGCTTCCCACCTAGATTCTCTGATACACTTCACTGCAAAAGCAAGTTAAAACTAATACTTAACTGAGATGACACAGGATGAGCAGCCTAAAAGACAAACTGATGCCAGAACAAAAGAAGCACAAACAGAGCACCCACAGTTCAACAGTCAACCGTTCTGCTACCTAGGATGCAGATGGATACAGTCACATGCTGTAGCTATGGCTGCCTGAAGAACACAATAATTCCACTAGTAGCAATTTATCCTAAGAAAAAATTACAGCAATGCACAAAGATTAAGGTCAAGCATATTCAGCAGAGGATTGTATAAGATAGAGGATGACTGATTAAAAACAATGCTACAGCTATCCAGGGTGTTACCATTATTTTCTACAATTAATCACATGCAAAGATGTCACCGTATGTTGACAAATGCAAAAACAGTCTAGTAAGCATTATGAATTATAGGATCTCATTTTTTAAAAAGGAACAGCCTATTTTTGTACACATATATTACATATAGGTGGAACTGTAGAATTTTATGTAGCCAAGTGTGGGATCATTGGTACTTTGTATCTTCTCTATCTGTTTAGCTATACAGATGGTCTCCAACATAACCACCACTCGACTAACAAAGTTTTTACTTCATAATCATGCAAAAACAACACACATTCAGTAGAAATTGTACTCCAAATTTTGAATTTTTATTTTTGCCCCAGCTAACAGGTGGTATAATAATATTCTTTCATGATGCTAGCTGGCTATGGGTCACCACACAATCACAACGGTAAACAAGGAGATTCCACAATGCACTGCGTTGCCAGCATTTTCTGATCCTGCACTTTGTTTTCCTATATCATATCATCTATAGAATGTCCATCTACACATGTATGTGTGAGATATTTAACACTTAAGTGTCCTGAGCAGATTTAAGGTAGGCTAGACTAAGCCATGATGTTCAGTAGCAGAGCTGTAGAAAATGCAGTTTTGATTTATAATGGGTCTACAGAAAAACAACCCATCTTAGGTCAAAGAGAAAATATAACCCTCAATTTAGTCTTTCTGTGATGAAAATATATCCATTTTATAATAGGAAAAAGATGACTGAAATAGTTGATGGCACAAACACAAAGTTCTTGACATTCAGAGTTATCTATTATGTAACATTTATTGTGAAAGCAAGAAAAGTTTGCTCTAATAGGTAATTTAGAAACATGAAATAGCTTTGTTAAAATTGTTTATAATAGAACTACAAGTCAAGGATGTTCACTTTTAGAGCACTCTACATGAGTAGTAAAATCATGGATATTGAGTGAACAGAATATACTTACGGTTGAGTGAAGTCACGAGTAATGAAATCAGAACTCTTGAAAAGCAGGAAGATGTCACTGAGCGTTTTACATTTCAGAGAACTATTCATTGCTATCCAGTATGCATCCTATACAAAAAGCAAATGGTATTTAGACCATATTTCAAATTCCGAGTCTGAACATCTCTAGTTATTAACAAAATCATCAATTTAAGACTTTCAAAAAAAAGCCAAGTGTCTTTTAACAAGACTGTCAGGTGCCGGATACACTCCGACAACAAAGAATATCACCAATGTGTGCATGCTACACTCTTCTGTGAACACTGAGGTAGCTCAGCCTGGGCCGAGCACTTGGCAGTGTTTCTCCCACTGATGGCGAGGGAAGTGGGAAATGAGGTAGCAGAAAAATTGGCACTTCAGATGAAATTGGCAAATAAACAGTCTGACCAGCACTCACTCTCCAAGAAAAAAGGACATAGCTTCCTCTCTGCTTCTGAGGACTGCCATCCACACACCTGGACTCTGCCAGCCACAGCAATGTAGATCTACACTGGCCAAATGTGGCAGGAAAGGAAGTGACATATTCTGAATCATCACTGCTTTAAGTGGTGAACATGATATGCAGGAACCAAAAAGATAAAAAAAAGGAAGGAAGGAAGGGAGGGAGGGAGGGAGGAAGAGAAAGAGAGAGAGAGAGAGAGAGAGAGAGAGAAAGAGAGAGAGAGAGAGAGAAAGAAAGAAAGAAAGAAAGAAAGAAAGAAAGAAAGGCAGGCATGCAGACTGGCCAGCACAAAGTTCAGTAGAGCATCCCTAAAAAAATAATAATTAAATCATTTGAAAAGCATACCTCTCCTCCACATTAGAAGGAAAAAAAACAGAATTTTGAGAAAACCACTACCCTGTTATCTATACTATACAGAAGAAAATACTAGCATATATTAGGCACTCAACAAATAACAAATAAATGAACAAATGGATAACACATCTGCCAACAACCTACCCATCCTGAGTGAAAGGAAACCTAACTCAGTTGAAAGGGATGATTTAAAGTACAGCTCACATGCAGATGAAAGTTGACTGAAAAACCAATAATGCATTTAATAACTTATAATAATTTCACAAGAACTTCTTTAAATAATCTGAATTACTTCCAAGATGGAGATTTTTTTAAAAAATGTATCTTTTAAAATTGACACACAGCAATTGCATGCATTTATGGTGAACACTATATATTCACATGCATATAGTGTGTGATGATCAGATCAGGGTAACCAGTTTATCTATTGACCTCAGATGGGTATCATTTCTTTAGGATAATGTACAATTTCATTATAATTTTTCCAATAAAAGAAATTGTGAACCTCTTATGAAAGAATATTGAATAGAAACATTTAATTGAAACAACAGTATTCACCTAACAAACTATGCAGCTGAATCATCTAGGCAATAACTATAGGGGAAAGAAAACTCAGAGTAAGAAAACAGAAACAGGAGCCAGTGCAATGACTCAGCTGGGTAATACCCTGTCTGCAAGTACCAGACTCCTGTATGGCACAGGTATGTGTCCCGGCTGCTCCACTTCCCACCCAGTTCCCGGCTTACGACCTGGGAAAGCAATGAAAGATGACCCAAAGCCTTGGGACTCTCCATCTGTGTGGGAAACTCAGAAGTTCTAAATTTCAGGCTTCAGATTGGCTCAGTTCTGGCCACTGCGGCCATTTAGGCAGTAAGCCAGCCAACAGAAGATCTTTTCTGTAAGATCTCGCCTCCTTCTCTCTGCAAATCTGCCTTTCAAAATAAAAATAAATATATTTTAGAAAAATAATAATAATCACAGTATAGTCCCTAATGGATACATACATAGCGTTGGTATAATTCCAGTAACTGGAAACACTATTGATCTAATCAAAGTTTAATAGGGTTGTGATGAGAATAACCGAATAGAAAGTAAAGAAGACAATACAAGAGTGTGGGATATTTGTTTCACAGAAGACAATAAAAAATAAAGGCAAATAGCAAAAGAATGTAGTAAAATGTCTGAAAGCACTACCTCTGCAGAACAGAAAACTGTAAAGCGCAACAGATCTCAGGACATGCTGATTTTTCTACCAAGCTCCCAGGTGGATCTGAAATTTTAAACTATGTAGATTATTAATTGATTCTGGAAGGCAGCTAGGCTCATTACTATACCACCAACGCTGCACTGATATACAACTAACTTTGAAAAATGACAATAAATTAGACTAACTACAAGTTACCACTCATTTCAGAATAATAAAAAAAAAAAGATTTTCCAAAAGGCAAATTTAAGTCTGATTCCTTAAATACTCTCATTGATATAAAGTTATTTTTTGTTGAATTACAAAATATAAAAATTTCCCACAGGCCTTAACTCTTACAAAAATCTTATCAATGCCATGTCATAAAATAAAGACACATTTTAAGAATACAGCTGATTTTCTCAAACTTCTCTGTTTATACATCCTTTGGTATTTTTATTTTTATGACTTTTCAATAGAGAAAAACTTCCCTCCTAAACCATGCAGTTTTGAGAAGGGCAGAGAATGAACTTCCTTAGAATTTGAACACAACTAGCCACATAAGAGGTTCAAACTGTTGGTTGGGAGAAATGAATTGCCTTGCAGACCCAGGAATGTGTACAGCAAAGCCAGGAGTAACAACACGACAGAGGGAAACAATCATAAATTCCACAGTATTTTTCCTAGAATGAGAAATACAATTAGACTCCCAGTGAGGATTTAAAATGAAAGGAACAGCAAAGCAAAGACTGTCAAACAGCAAGCAACATATTGCTGTGTTCCTACCCTTGGGGCACTCCAGTTGAGTTTGGGAAAGACACTGCCCCCCAGAGAGCTGATAGCTTCCTGGACTGTTGTGGTGAACTCAGGAAACTCCGGTGCCTACAGAGAGAAGAGAAATCGCTTAGGCAAGAAAACATCATCTGGCAAGCATGGCAAGCAGTTAAGAATCTCAAGGCAATAGTCCTAGAGTGTTAAAAACAGAATTTAGAGCACTAATTACCCACAATTTCTGGACTAAATGAAATCCGTCATCAAACAACATTTACCAGAAAGAGAAGTAAAAGCACTCAAAATCGCACCTTTTCAAACAAAACCACAAAATTAAAAGACGTCACTGGGCATCTGGGGCTGTGAGGAATGAATAAATTGTTCTATACACGCCTACATAAAACCAGTAATCTTTTTATTTTTATTTTTTTAGCACAAAGAATTTTTAAAATTTTTCTACTTTAGAGAAAGAGAGATTCCAACTGCTGGCTTACTCCCCAGTTGTAACAGCCGGGGCTGGGAGTGGCTAAAACCCAGAGCACAGGAATTCAACCTAGAGCTTCCTGTAGGTGATGGGAACCCAAGTACTTGGGTCATTCATTACCTGTTTCCTGCCATGGTCTAGATGAACCAGCTACACCACAGTGAACCAAAGCACTCCAGGGTGGGATGCAGCTGTCTTTTAAAATCTTTCTTTTAATTTTTGATTAGTTTTTAACAGACTGAGTGTGGTATGTAGATACAATTCTAAGACAATGATGATATTCCCTCCCTAGGATGCAGCTGTCTGAGCTTCCATCTGAGCTGCTGGACCAAAGGTCTACTGTCAGACCAGTGTTTACCAAGTGGAAGCAGACAGGCAGACTACCACTGGTACATGCACTGTGGCTCTCAGCCGGCACTCCAACACTACAGGACCTTTCCATTTGTAGGAAGAGCCCTAGAGATATCCCCAAAAGGCTTCAGAGGATGAAAAACAAACTGTATTCAAACACTGCTATTTCCAGACCGTTTTAATATAAACAAAATTCAAAAATAGGACCTTGGTCAATCTAAAACATTTTGTCTGGGGCCGGTTTTTTGGCATAGTGGTTAAGAGGCCAATTGGGACACCCATGCATAATAGAGCATCTGGGTTTGAATCTCCACTCAGCTTCCACCCAGGTCCCTGCTAATATACACCCAAGAGGCAGCAGATGATGGCCCAAGTGCTAGGGTCCCTGTCACCCAAAGTCCGACTCCTGGTTTTGGCCTGGCCCAGCCCCCAGCTGACAGCAGGCATTTGGGAAGTGAACCAGAAGATGGATAAATGTGCCTATCTCACTTTCAAATAAAAATAAATAACTTTAAAAGTAATTTCTGGGCCCGGCGCGGTGGCACAAGTGGTTAAGGTCCTCGCCTTGCACGCCTGGGATCCCATATGGGCGCCGGTTCTATCTCAGCAGCCCCACTTCCCATCCAGCTCCCTGCCTGTGGCCCGGGAAAGCAGTCAAGGACGGCCCAAAGCTTTGGGACCCTGCACCCGCGTGGGAGACCCGGAAGAGGCTCCTGGCTTCGGATCGGCATAGCATTGGCCATTGCGCATTGCGCTCACTTAGGGAGTGAATCATCGGACGGAAGATCTTCCTCTCTGTATATCTGCCTTTCCAATAAAAAAAAATAATAAAAATAAATCTTAAAAAAAAAAAAAAGTAATTTCTGCTTTGGTTTTACTTAAAAGTGTGTATTTCATCCAGGCAAGTGACTGAAACAAAGCAGCTGTTTGTTTCAAGCAGGAAGTAACAGAAACACTGCCGCTGAATAGGGAACTTGACTGCCATGATGCCCTGGCTTGAAACAAGACGAAGAGAGGCCTGTGTGCAGCTTTCAGAACAGTCTGTCAGTTACTGAGTTTCCCCTTCCAAAGGGACTGCTGCCCTCTACTGGGCAACTGCAAGCTCTGAAAAACAAAGAACTCCGTAATCACAGCTTCTTCCACAGGAGAAACAAAAGCTACTCAGTCTAGAATTAACTCAAGCACACATTCCAAAAATTAATCAAATGGTTTATGCAAATTCTCAAGGTTTAACCCAGTTATAGAGCAGAAAAAGCTATGACAAGTGTCTAGGAGACAGACGAAAGAAATGTGTTCAAAAACAGTAACGCATTCTCTAAACTAGAAACAGCCTTAAACAAAAAGCTATCAGGAAAGAGAGAAGTCCAAATTAGACTACCTTTTCTACTACAGGCTAAGTCTAACCTCTGAATCAGTTAAATCTTTTAAGGTTGTCTCTATCTTTCATCAAGCTATTTCTTCAGCTTAGATAATGTGGATATAAAACGACAGTCACTTCGGAGACTCTTAAATTGAGTAACGGTATCACACTATCCCAAGCCCCTCTTCCCATTAAAGAAATAAAGACTGATGTTAAGCCAATAACATCCTTGCAACTGTTGGAAGCACTGATTCATCTCTAGAGCTCCAGCCACAAAAACCACCACTTAGCAAAGATGCATTAGCGAGTTTCAATAAATGGAATCACAACAGACTTTACAACATAAAGGGATTTCACTTCCTAAGACAAAACATTTTACTACTCCTAGCCCTTAGAACTTGGCATCTAAAGGTTGTTTTGTACTCACGTGCTACATTTGGAAAATACGATATGTGCCCTCAGATCCTCAGAGTATTCAATTTTAGAGAATATTGCCTTAAGGCTCAGGACAGATTTAAGTCACTGGATCTTATGTGCTGTCTTCAGTGAAAGACTGAGGCTATAAAGGGGGCTGGGGGGCTGGGAAGGAGGGGACTTCAACCAGTTCACTGAAATGTGTACTTAAAAAACCATGTAAGGATTTCAAGCATTTTGTAACAAACTTCCCCCACTCCCCACCCACACGGTCCCTGCCTGGTCAGGCCTGGGAGGTCCCTCCAAACTGCAGACACAGACAGACACACAACTTCTGCCCTGTCGGAAGATCAGCTCTCCCATACTGGAGGCAGCAAAAATCAGCTTGCCTCATTTACATATTCACATCAACATCCCTGATTTATAAATATATCTTTTCTTTAGACTCTTTTTCATTGAGTTCTAACATCTGTCATGAGTTAAATAAATCTTTGACATAAGTTAAAGTTTTCTTCTACCTGTTTGGGAGTTACGACTTCACCATTTTATAAGAATCATCTATAAACACACTTAATAGGATTCTTTTGAGATGATGCTCGACTTGTCAATCTTAAATATACCTAACACCTTCACTTGTCTGTGGAACAGTTACCACTACAAGATAAAACCTATACACTGGGGCTGGCCTGATGGCTCAACTGGCTAATTCTCTACCTCCAAGCACCACCATCCCATATGGGCACCAGTTTGTGTCCTGGCTGCTCTACTTCCTATCCAGCTCCCTACTTGAGACCTGGAAAAGCAGCTAAGAACCACCCAAAGCCTTGGGACCCTGCACCCGCTTGGCAGACCTGGTAGAAGCTCCTGGCTCCAGTTTGGGGAGTGAACGAGCAGGTGGAAGATCTTTTTCTCTCCTTCTCTCTGTAAATCTGCCTTCCCAATTAAAAAAAAAAAATCTTAAAAAAACACACACACTTACACATTTATTAGTTGAGGGTCTTCTGTCGTCTTTACTCACCTACTCATTTTTGCAATCTCACCCGCCACAACATCGCTGCAGCACCCCGTTCAGAAAGGGCACACTGTTTTCGTGTTAATCTTTTAGAATTATGAAGTGTTTTAAAGCATACAGATGCTTGCTTCTGGATGCAAACACTCAATTTGGCACAGGTACCTGATCCTCCCTGTTGTTCAACAGGCAACAAGACTGCGGTGTGTCCATCCATAGCCACGACGTTACACCTGTGACAGGCACGCCTACCCACAGAACATGACCTTCAGAAGAGCTCAAGTCATTATCTGTGCATATTTCCAGCAAACTTTTTTTTAATTTTTAGTTTTTATTACAAAGTCAGAGGAGGAGACACAGAGAGGAAGATCTTCCATATGCTGATTCACTCCACAGGCGGCTGCATCGGCCAGAGCTGAGCCAATCCAAAGCCAGGAGCCTGGAGCCTCTTCCAGATCTCCCACATGGACGCAGGGTCCCAAGGCCTCGGGCCGTCCTCGGCTGCCTCCCCAGGCCACAAGCAGGGAGCTGAATGGGAAGCAGGGCCACTGGAATTGGGATTAAAACCAGTGCCCAGGGCCCGGCGCGGTGGCACAAGTGGTTAAAGGTCCTCGCCTTGCACGCCCGGGATCCCATATGGGCGCCAGTTCTAATCCCGGCAGCCCCGCTTCCCTTCCAGCTCCCTGCCTGTGGCCTTGGAAAGCAGTTGAGGATGGCCCAAAGCTTTGGGAACCTGCACTCGCGTGGGAGACCCGGAAGAGGCTCCTGGCTTCGGATCGGCATAGTATCAGCCCTATCGGCCCGTTGCGCTCACTTGGGGAGTGAATCATCGGACGGAAGATCTTCCTCTCTGTCTCTCCTCTCTGTATATCCGCCTTTCCAATGAAAAAATAATAAAAATAAATCTTTAAAAAAAAAAAAAAAACCAGTGCCCATATGGGATCCCAGTGCATTCAAAGCGAGGACTTCAGCCACTCGGCTACTGCTTCAGGCCCAACATTCTTTTTTAAACTCATCGTCAAGAATAGAACTTGCATTATTTTTAACATATTGTTTACACAATACTATGTCAATTAATCCCATAATGTTGTATATTGATACTGAGGTTTTGTTGCGGCTTTTAACTGACCGGATCTTTACTCTGTTAGCCCTATCTTCAGACTAGAGAAGGTCTCCCCAAGAGGCCACTGAATTTATCTGGACAATAAGACGCTGGACTTTATGCTAGATATGTGTTTGCAAGGAACGAATCTCAACTGAACTTGAACTGTGGTTATGCAACAAGGTGGAGGAATCCACCATGGGGGGAGGGGTATGGGAGGGGTGGGGGGAATCCCCAGTGCCTATAAAACTGTATCACATAATACAATGTTAACAACAATAAAAAAAAAAAAAAAAAAGAAAACCTGATTTTTTTTCACCTAACTTTTGGTATGCTGCCTTTACAACCACACTCATGTCCAATCTGCCATCCACCAATGCCTGAGGATTTTCCTACTCTAAGTCCTGGTTTTATTTTCTCTCAACTCTTAATATTCATTCTTTACTCAACTCTGTCTAGCCTCACCCAAAAGAGCCTAATGACTTCTTTGAACTGAAAATGTTTAAGATAACTTCAGGCATTCAGAAACATAAGAAAACTAAGTGTATCTACAAACTCTTCACCCAGAGTCTTGTTCTACACTTGCTCTATCACTTTCCAAACCAAATCTCCTCTTTACATATCTGTGTGAGTTCCTATTTATTCATACATAGAAGACACTTTTTTCCCTATATTACTCTAGAGTAAGTTGCCCATTCATCCATAAATTGTTCAGTATATATGCCCTCCCAAGCAAACCAATCAAAATCAAGGAACGGTGATATAACACCACTATCTCACCAGAAATTTTACTGAAAGCTTACACACTGAGAGAGGAAAGCTCAATCTTCAACTAGCTGGTTCACTTCCCCTCACAGTCAAAATGCGGGGCCAGGTCTTCATCCAGCTCTCCCAAGTGGGTGGCAGGAGCACTAGAGCCATCTTATGCTACTTTGCCAGGCCATTAGCAGGGAGCTGGATTAGAAGTGGAGCAGCCAGAACACAAACAGGCACCCATTTTGGGGTGCCAACACTGCAGGCAGCAGCTGTACCCACTACGCCACAACAGTGAACCCTGGATATGAACATCTTTAAAAAAATCATTTATTTTTGATCCTGGCGTCATCACCTAGTGACTAAAGTTCTCACCCTGAATGCGCCAGGATCCCAGATGGGTGCCAGATCACATCATAGCAGCCCTGCTTCCCATCTAGCTCCCTGCTTGTGTCCTGGGGAGGCAGTCGAGGACGGCCCAAAGCCTTGGGACCCTGCACTCGCGTGAGAAGAGGCTCCAGGCTCCTAGCCTCAGATTGGTGCAGCTCCAGTCATTGCAGCTACTTGGAGAGTGAATCATCAACGAAAGATCTTCCTCTCTGTGTTTCCTACTCTCTGTATATCTGACTTTGCAATAAAAATAAATTAATCTAAAAAACGAATTTATTTTTATTGGAAAGGCAGATTTACAGACACGGAGAGACAAAAAAGTTTTCCATCTGCTGGTTCACTCCCCAAGTGGCCGCAATGCTCAGAGCTGAGCAATCCGAAGCCAGGAACCAGGAGCTTCCTCCTGGTCTCCCATGTGGGTGCAGGGTCCCAAGGCTTTGGCCCATCCTCTATTGCTTTCTCAAGCCACAAGCAGGGAGCTGAATGGGGAGTGGGACAGCTGGGACATGAACTGGTGTCCATATGGGATCCCAGTGCTTGGAGGTGGAGAATTAGCCAGTTGAGTCATTGCACCAACCCACCTCACTTCTGCTTTCCCCCATTTTTTTTTCCCTAAAGACTGAAATATCTTCCATCACCAATTCCCTCCCAAATTGTTTCAACAATTGAAACTGCATTGGCTTGAAGCCAAATGTCAGGAGTTTCTTTCAAGTCTCCCATGTAGGTACAAGGTCCCAAAGACTTGGGCCACCCTCCACTCCTCCACTGCTTTCCCATGACATAAGCAAGGAGGTGATCAGAAGTAGAGCATGCAGAACACGAACCAGAACCTATGCAGGATGCTGCTGCTTGCAAAGGGAGGATCAGCCCATTGGACCACAGCACCAGGCCCATTAATTAGAGTTTTTTACTAATTAAGGAAAGGTTTCATTTATGTCAGGATGGGATCATAGATTCTTATTTTTGTCAATTTGCTGTGATTTAGTGTAATCATTACTTGCTATGATCTTTTTTTGTTCTTGCCAGTGGAGCCCATTCAAGATGCCTTCTGGAGACTTGCTATCATGTTCCCATTAGTCTTGAGCATTCCTTTAGCTCCTGGCACAGGAAGTCACTGCAAGATCATTTTTGCTTTTCTAACCCCCATCTTCAATTTCTCCAAGAAGCCGATTCCTTGTAATGAAGCAGGGTATTCTAGAAACCAACCTCTAAACCTTTTCAGTGAACAGTTAGGCAGAGAAACACACATAGACACACTGCTAGGGCTGAAACTTTGGTATCTCTGCAAATCCCCATTTGTGGTCGTATTCCAAGAAGCGCCTTTGGGGAAGAGATTAAGTCATAAGGGCTCTGCTCTCTGAATTGGGGTTTCTGCCTCCCCACCCAAAAACAGCTTCAAAGCGTTGCCTGGCCCTCACTGGTCTCCTCTTCTCCCATCAAACCACAAAGCCACAAGGAGCCTTCTTAGATATGGAGAACCAGTCTTTAGCTGGCACTTAGCCTGCTGACCTATGACTTCCTGCCCTCCTGCAATGTGAGAAATACATTTCCATTATTTATAAATTTCCTAGCCTATGTTATTTCACTATAGCAGCAGGAGTAAGCCTAAACATAGACACACTTCTGTAGCATTCTCTGTATTTCTAGATTTTGATAGTACTGCCACCCACTCCCAACCTGTATCTTCTTTCCCCAACTGCTTACAAACCCCCTAATGGCAGGAATCAAATCATATTCATCTTTATCTCACAGAACCCATTTGGTGACCTGAGTATGACAAATATTTATATTAAATCAAACAGAATTTTCATATAAGGAGTGTGACCCTCGTAACATCCAGGGCAGATGAAACATACATGAGTTACAGGAGCTCCATTTCTGCATCTGTTGGCCTGTTTATTTTTTTTTTTTTATTACCTAAGGAAACGTGTGAGTTCTATACAGTTTCACTTTTTTCCCATATAAAAACCATGCATTTCATTAAAATAAATGGAAAAATCTCAGGAGTTAGTGTTAGAGGGCTCAGTGCAATAGTCCAATGGCTGAAGTCCTCACATTATACACACCAGGATCCCATACGGGTGCCAATTCATATCCCAGCTGTTCTACTTTCTTTCCAGCTTCCTGCTTGTGGCCTGAGAAAGCAGTTGAGGACGGCCCAAAGCCTTGGGATCCTGCACCCATGTGGGAGACCTGGAGGAAGTTCCTGGCTCCTAGATTCAGATCAGCTCAGCTCAGGCCACTACAGCCACTTAGGGGATAACCAGAGGATGGAAAATCTTTCTGACTCTCCCTCTCTGTAAATCTGCCTTTCCAATAAAAAATAAATACATCTTAAAAAAATAGTTAGTATCAGAATACATTCTCCCTAAACTGCTTCCCACATTTGTTCCTTCACAATTATTTGTAATGAAGTTCATAAAAAAAAAAAAAAAACAAGCAAAAAATGTCGTTCTCTTTTATCTTAAGGTATCAGGAACTTTCATTCACCTGTCTTTGGAAATACACTGCTCAAGTTACTCACTACTTTAAAAATTTATTTAAAAATATTTTCAGTTAAATTTCACAAAAGCACCAATAAATAATACCTTTACTTTCTATACATAATATTGGTCAGTCACGTACTTCTCTACTCACTTGAAAGAAACTGCTAACTTTTGTGACACTTCAACACACTGAGTACTAAGTAGATACAGATTTTCACTTCATCCTAGGAAAATGTCAGGTTTGATTTCCCCTTTCAGAGTTTGACGGAAACAAGTCAAAACATCAAAACTGCACTCGAGATATTTCCTTTCTACTTGGGGTGGGGAGGGAATACTATACCACATCTGCCCATTAGACAATGATTCATGTTACTTTTCAAAATAATAAACAGCTCGCAAAGGCAGACACGTCAAGGAGCAAGTACACAGGAGCTCAGAGAGGCCAACATGCAGACCAGCCCTCTGTGTCGTGCGTAGCTGTCCCCACCCTGGCACTGTTGGCTCTTACCGTAAGGGTGGCTGTGTTCTCATCATCGGACCACTGCATGGGAAGAAGGGGCAGAAAGAAGACATTCCATTAAATCCAGGACTGGGCCTCCAAAGAGGAATAATCCATCTAGAAACTGTGCATACAGAGGATACATCTTTTTCTGAACATGGATCATATGAAAAAATATATGGGAAAGGGCAATTTTCACCTGATTTTCCACTTTGATGACTATAAGATCTAAATATCAGAATCATTTCAGAGATCACGTATCCCAGGACAATATACAGAACAGACTCGTTGTCCACCAACCTGTATTTCTTCTGCTTCATCATCACTGTCTGGCTGAGAGTGTGCTGGCGGATCTTCCCTGAAAGGAAAAAAACAAGATTTTGGGATGAGAAGCCATAAGTGTACTACTTACATTCGTTTAAAAAAGTAAGCAAATAAAACAGCCTGAGCACATGGGAAAACTCACTTTTGAGACACAAGATAATTAAACATGTACACAGAATTAATGACAGTATACTTCCAGTAAGAGCTGGCAGAATAAAAACTTTCTGCCCTCTTCTCAGAAATCACTTAATGCAACGGAAAGACAAATTCAGCCCTTGTCTCTGATGACATGAACAATCATTTCTAACTCCAAACCCTAAAATATGAGCAAGTGCTGCCAAACACCTAGAGGACCCAGCAGGGTGCAGGAAAACACCAAAGGGAAACCTCAGATGAGATGTCTCTAGAGGTGACAGATTATCCCCTGGGGAGGCAAAACTAAAAGAAAATAGCGTGGGGGCTGTCATCAGGAAGTATTCGGATCCAGTCTGGACCATCAAAAAGCATAGGGCGGGAGTGCAGAGAGAGCGAGAGCGAGGCACTCAAGCATACAATTGATGAAGAACCTGGTGAGCAAGGCGGTGCAGTAAAAAGGGCCTTCTGCGGGGTTCCAAGGTCAATATTCCGCTCTGGCTCCCGACTAGTTTCTTACCCAAGCAGATCCTGGGCAGCCCGAGGTGATGGCTTAGGTGACTATGTTCCTGCCACCGACGTGGGAAACCTGGAACAAGTCTCCAGATTCCAGCTGAGCTCAACACAGGCATTCATTAGAGACATTTAGAATGAATGAGAATTCTCTCCATCTCTCAAATAAAGAAAAATTTTATTGGCTTTTTGGAAATCACTACTTTTACGAAAAATATTTATTTATTTATGTATCTGAAACTCAGAGTTAAAAAGAGACCCAGATAAACAGAGTGATCTTCCATCTAGCGGATCACAGCCGTGACGGCTGCAATGCCGTGGTGGGCCAAGACAAAGCCAGGAGGCAGGAGCTTCATCCAGACCTCCCTTGTGAGCGGAAAGGGCCTAAGTATTTGACCATCTTCTACTTTTCCCAAACCATTAGCAGGGAGTTGGATTAGCGACAGAAGATCTTTCTCTCTGTATCTCCTTCTCTATATATCTGATTTTCCATTAAAAAATAAATCTTAAAAAAAAGGGGGGGGGGGCGGAATAGGGTAAAAACATGTTTAAACGGACAGAGAAACATTTAATCAGGATGAAGCAGTGAAGACACATTCCAGGAAATAGGAGAGGACAGAACAACAGCAGAGGGGTACCTGGAGACTGACAGACACAGGAAAGAAGCGGACACAACGGTGTGGTGTTGCAGTGACTGATACTCCAGCCGCATTTAGCTAATGGCAATCTGAACTCCACCAGCAAACAGGTGAGAAGGGACTTTCACTGGGAGCTTGGGAGGTGAACCCAGACGGGGAACTGTCTGTCCTGCTGATCCGTTTGATTTGACCAAGAGCAGAGACAGAGCAGCAGATCCAAGACCAGCAGTGTGAGAACAGGGTGGATTTCACAGCCCAGTCAGCACCCTAGAGCTGAATTGGGAAAGGACTGAGCATTCGCTGAGCTGGGAGTGAATTCATTTCTGACTCAGTGAACTGCAGCAATATGTCATTCTACAGGTTTCACCCAAGACATGTCTAGGTAGCCCTCAGACCTGATGGCCAGCACATTAAGAACTCTAGTAGTGGTACGTCAGGCACCGTTTTTGTACAGTGTGGCAAAAGCTTTAGGACTGCAGGGGACAACAGTGAACTGCGCATGTTCTGAGCTCTCTGAGCTCATGAGAACTCACTGACTTCCGTGGACTGCACTGGTCCTGCAGGAAAATAATACCGACTGTGGCATCGTACAGGTCAAAATAGGTCCATATGGCACTCAGACCTAACGTCCAACAGGTTCCAGCAAGATCAGCATCACCAACAACCTAGCTATATAGGACACCTGGTGTCTCCCTAATCCCGGGACCTGTTCCAACCAGAAGTGGGAGAAAGGCTGTACAGACAACGGTGCAGCCTCAGCATGGTATCACAGCAGGTGGAGATTGGTGAGCCAGGAGCTGAACTATGGAGTTCTTGGTGGAAATCTAACATAAGGACCCAGATCTGGAACTTGCTGGAGGGAGTGGCACAACTGGCTGCAAGCAAAGAGTTGTGTACCAACTGCAATTAATTAAAATCAAACTGTAGACCTGTGGGTGACACAGTTTAGAAACCTGCCCCAAGGAAAAGACTGTTAACCAGAAGTACAATGACCAAGAGCAAAGAAGAGACAAAGGCACAATGAATTTTACTGAAGACTCCCTCCTGCAAAGGAGCAAAACCCTATGCCAACCTCAGAGTTAAATGAGGAAGACATCAAGAAAATGAGGGACACAGAATTCAGAAAACTCATTTTAAAGTTTCTGATCAACAATGAGAAGCACACACAAGAATTCAAAGAATTTAAGAAATATTTTACACAAGTAACAGCAGCAATAAAGCAAATCAAGGCTGACATATCAGAAATTAAGAACACAGTAGAGCAAACTAAAAGTACAGTGGAGAGTCTCCAAAATAGAATGAAACAAGCAGAAGAAAGAATCTCAAAATTGGAAGATATTTCCTTTCTTCAGGGGGAAGCAAACAAAAAGCTGGAAGCAGAGCTGGATCAGGCCAAAAAAAAGTATTCAAGAATTGAAAGACACTATTAAGAGGCCAAATATAAGAGTTATGGGAGTCCCGGAAGGTGCAGAAAGAGAAGCTGAATTTGCAAATGTATTTAATGAAATAATAAATGAAAAATAAAGGAAAACAAATAATAATCTAGAGAAAGAACTGGGAAACAACATCCAGGAGGGGCACAGAACACCCAACAGGCCTGATCAAAATTGATCTTCACCAAGACACTCTCTTCAATTGAACAAAAAGAAAAAATCCTTCAATGTGCATGTTAAAAAAAATCAATTGACATATAAAGAAATGCCAGTTAAACTCACAGGAGATCTCTCAGGAAACTCTACACGCAAGAAGAGAATGGAGTGACATATTCCAGATTCTGAAAGAAAAAATTGTCGGCCTAGGATAGCATATCCCACAAAGCTTTCTTTTGTCTTTGAAAATGAAATAAAATTCTTCCACAATAAAAAAAAAAGTTAAAACAATTTGCCTCTTCCAAACCTGCCCTACAAAAGATACTTCAAGATGTTCTCTGGACAGAGAAGAGGAATAGCACCCAACAAAACCAAAGGCAAATGGGAATAACATCCCAGTAAAATTGTAACAGAAGACTAAACCAATGAACAACCCATTCCTAAAATGACAGGACCAAAGTACCACCCATACATATTAACTCTGAATGTAAATGGCTTAAGCTCAATCAAACGTCATAGATTAATAGACTGGATTAAAAAAAATCTATTTGTTGTCTAGAAGAGACACATTTCACCAACAAAAATCAGCGGAAACTCTATAGCATGGGTTTTGTCATTTTCTGTTAGTTTCATCTCTTCAAAGCAGTTTCTTTTGATTAAATTCTTCAATTACTCATAGATCATACAGTAACATCATTTTCTTCAAGAAGGTTCTTGATTTTCATTGCTTCAGCTAAACATTAGTCATTTAGTAGCATGTTATTTAACTTCATGGTGTTGCTAATTTCTTTTTCCTTCCTGATGTTGATTTTGTTTTGTGGCTTTTCATTTAAGGGGATGTACAGTAGCTGTGTAATGGAGACTGTCATATCTAGTGACATGTTATTTAACTTCATGGCACTGTAAATTTCTATTTTCTTTCTATTATGACTTTGTATTATGACTTTTCATTTGAGGGAATGTACAGTAGCTGTGAAATGGAGACTAACATATCCAGATGTGAGGATGCAGTGTAGTATGCATTTCTACTTCCAGATTAAAGATGGGTTTACAATGAAACTGTTTACTATATCTTGACAATAGGATGCTGAACCTTCTGCCATTGTCCATGCCCGCAATGATAGACATATGACTGTGTATGAAGAACTATACTTTAGTAATGATATAGAGGAATTAGGAGGGGGGGAGGGAAATTGGGGCTGGCATAAGGGAAATACCAGGAGCCTATGGAACTGTACCATATAATACTACTACTAATATTAATAATGTAAAAAAAAAAAAAAAAGTCTTGGAAGTGTTAACTGTTGGGGCCTCAAAATTAGTCTTTCTCACCAGTACTGGACTGCTGGTTGCTGCTCCCATGGGATTAAGAACTAACTCGTGGTTTCTGAGGTTAGAGGCAGGTGCACAGCCACTTGCAGGAATGGTGCAACCCTGCTATGTGCTCCCTTACTTCATCTTACATATGAGAAGTTAGAGTGCTCCAGCTCAGGATGGTCTGGGTTAAAGCCCTCAGACTTGAGATCAACACTAGAACTCAAAAGCCGGATCGAGAGTAACGTGTAATGTCTGATGTATGAGTTTGCAGTTCTGAGGTGGCCCACACAGAACATGGCTTTTAACAAAATCTGTATGTGATCATACACAGGAGACATAGAAGCTGCTCTCGGTGCCTGTGCCTTCCTGTCACAGGTCCCTGCTCCCTGAACTCTGTGTTCTAGATTTTTCTCAATTCCTGTTTCTAAGCCCTGGATGCTGCAAACTGGCTCACAACAATTTTTTTCCCTTTTACTGAAGTCTGGGATTATTACTTGGAAGAAAATAATTCCAGGGACAAGCAACACTGTAATGCAAAAATATGTTCACTGAAGAACTGTTTTTGGTAAAGCTGTAAACAGCCTAACCAACAACTCTGTTGCCAACAACAAAAAATAAAGATTCAATAAGTGTAATTCATTAACTTTACTATATTTATTTCTGACTATAATGCTATGTTTTGATGCAAGGAAATACTCTAGAGTAGAGAAGCTAAAATTTCTAAACATCATCAGAGTTCTAATAGTCTGTAAGTAATATTTTAAATATATGCAAACTCACTCAAGAACTTTCAATATCTGAAATCAGAGAAGCAAAAGAGGTAGGATAAAGAATATACTAGAGGA